TTTTTTCTTTTTGCTTATGTGGTGCTGAGGAATCGAACCCAGGGCCTTGAGCATGCAAAGCAAGCGCTCTACCACTGAGCCACCTTCCCAGCCCCCAGTATTAATATTTTTATGCATACCTTGATATTTATACTTTTTCCCAGTAAAGGTGGAATGTCTCAACGCTTAGGGATCTATCCATGTTGAAATCCTGCCCCCAGTTTTTATTGATATCTCTTATCTGTTTATTCCTTGAATTAGATTATTTTTGTATGAGTAAAAAAATTATTTTCTATCTTAGCTGACTTACAGTGCTCCTGGGGCCTAGTGAATACATTCACTTCAGCATTCAGCGTGTTGTATTTTTTGCATGTATTGTTTTCTAATTGTAAACTCCTGGAGGGGCAGATTATGTCTTAAGAGCATCTGGCATGTTTGCTGAATGAAGGGATGAAGTAGAAGGTCCCTGAGGATAGTGCCCTTACATGTCTTTATAGCTCCTGTCACATCTGACAGCTCCCTGTAAATATTTGTTGTATTGAATTTAACTGAATGTATAAATAGAGATGACTTTCTTTTTGATAATCTGTGTTGTTTTGGCAAAATATGGTTTTATCTTTGACATCATACATGTGCTTCTTATGATCTACTTAGTTTATTATATTACTGGTGAAGTCCTATGCTTGAAAAAATTTAAAATCTTTCTGTGTGTGTGTGTGTGTGTGTGTGTGTGTTGGTTGTGGGCCTGAACTCAGGGCCTAGGTGCTGTCCCTGAGCTCTTTTTGCTCAGACCTAGTGTTCTACCACTTAAGCCACAGTTTTTGAGTGGTTAACTGGAGATAAGAGTCTCACTGAGACTTTCCTGCCCAAGCTGGCTTTGAACTACAATCCTCACATCTTAGCCTCCTGAGTAGTTAGGATTATAGGTGTGAGCCACAGTGCCCAGCATATTTCATGCTTGAAATTTTTTTGTGTGCTGGTCCTGGGGCTTAAATTCAGGGCCTGGGCACTGGCCTTAAGCTTTTTTGCTCAAGGTTAATGCTCTACCACTTGAATCACAGTTCCACTTTTGGCTTTTTGGTGTCTCCCTGGCTGGCTTTAAACCATGATCCTCAAATTTCAACCTCCTGAGTAGCTAGGATTGCAGGCATGAACCACCAGTGCCTGGCTCACCATGATTTTTTTTTTTTGTTGGTCCTGGGGTTTGAACTCAGGACCTGGGAACTATCCCTTAGCCTCTTGTACTCAAGTCTAGCACTCTACCATTTGACTTAGAGCACTACTTCCAGCTTTTTCTGAGTAATTTATTGGAGACAAGAGTTCATGGACTTTATTTCCTGCCATAGGCTGGCTTTGTACTACAGCCCTCAGATCGTAGCCTCCTGAGTAGCTAGGATTATAGGTGTGAGCCTCCCATATCTGGCTATGAACTATCTTCTAATATAAAACCTAGCCTGTGCCATAGAAGGCTCTCAGTGAATTTGTTTTATGTATGAGTAATTAACTCTAGGATGTCTTAAAAGTCTTCCTTATAACTTCCTTATGAAATGCATTATTGTACGAAGATCTAGCCCAGAGTATCAAGGACCTATTGTAGTTACTGTCCAGTCCTGTAGTCTTGTAGGATTTTCCACACCATATTCTAGGAGGAGGAGGAGTTTTTCTGTCTCCCTGATTGTTATGTCCTCACAAATAAAGATACATAGGATCACTGGATCATCACAGAACAGTCTGTGTACAGGTCAGTGTCAGGATTTTACCCCAGTCCATCTGACTCCAGAGCCAAGCTCTAACCTCTGCCATGGAAGAAAGAATGGCCAGTGACTGCATAGTGGCTATTTGGGTTCATTTCAAGAGCCCAAGGAGCTCAAGGGCCTGTGGCATAGCTTGTCATAGGTATTGATTGTTGGAGAAATTGGTGGCCAGTTGATAATGATAATGCTGTGTGTCTTGCAGATGTGGATGTTGTTAATCCGGATGAAAAGTCAATCATGACTTATGTGGCGCAGTTCCTGAAGTATTCAAAGGATGCTCCTGGGACGGGTGACATGGCTCAGGTACAAATCCGGTTCGTGTTTGTACTATACTGCTGATGCTTTAATTTAGTTAATTATGTTTTGTTGGTCCTGGGGCTTGAACTGGGGCCTGTGTGCTGTCCCTGAGTTCTTTTGCTCAAGGCTAGCACTCTACTACTTTGAGCTACAGTGCCACTTCTGGTTTCCTGGTGGTTAATTGCAGATAACAGTCTCAAGGATTTTCCTGCCCACGAAGGCTTTCAACCATGATCCTCAGATCTCAGTCTCCTGAGTAGCTAGGATTACAGCTATGAACCACTGTTCAGCTTAGTTCACTGAGTTTTTTCAAATGTACATACCCATCTAAACTTTAATCATAAAATATTATAATCATTTTTTTATTACCCATAATGATCCACTATATCTCTTTCCCCTGCTACTCATTTCAGGCAACCAGTATTCTAATTTCATTTATTATAATGATTTTTGCCCATTAAAAAATTAACAGTGTTCATTTATCACCAACTAAACCAACTTTACATAGGCAATATAATACAAAGCTAATTTGTGTTACTACAATATAAACAGGAGATCATCAACTGATAAAGAAGAATGATTGCCTGCCACGGTGTATACATTTATAATCCCAGCACTTAGGGTGCTGAGGCAGGAGAATTGGGAATTTGAGGCCAGCCTGATTTACATAGCCAGATACTAAAAAAGTAGGAGGGAGGGGTAGGAAGGAAGAGGGAAAGGAGAAAAAAGATGAAGGGGAGGATGCAGGAGGGTAAGGGAAAAGGAATTAAAAACGAGAAAGAGGAAACCAGGCTACAGTGGCTCACGCCTGTAATCCTACCAACTCAGGAGGCTGAGGATCACAGTTCAAAGCCAGCCTGGGCAGAACAGTCCCTGTGAGACTCTTTATCTCCAATTAACCACTCAAAACAACCTGGAAGCATGCTGTGGCTCAGGTGGTAGAGTGCTAGTCTTGAGCACAAAGAAATTCAAGGACAGCGCCCAGGCCCTGAGTTCAAGCCCTACAACTGACAGAGAAAGAGAGGGGGGGGGGAGAGAAACTGAGGTTCTGCAGCCCTCCTAGAAGGAATGCCCCCAGTGACCTAAACCTTCCCACTTGACCCACCTCTTAAAGTATCCACCACCTCCCAACATGGCTGCATTCTGGCATTCAAACCTTTAACACATTGGCTTTTTAGTAACAGTCAAGAACGAAACCAGATCAGGCACTTACACAGAAGCAATTGAGCAATTTTATAGACATCCATTTGTTGTCTATTATAATTCCTACTTGCTTTATTGAAATATATATTCACATCATAAAATTAAGCTGTACAGTTTACAGTATTTTAGTGTATTTACGTGCTTATGTAACTGTCACCGCCATCTCAATTTAGCACATGCTGTCTCTATTGCCTTTAGCCTTGTGCAAATGGAATGATGTAATTCATGGCAATGGATGCTTTGTCTTCTACTCTTGATCCTTGTTTGTTGGGAGACTCTTGAATTACTAGATTGCCATGTGGTTGTTCAACTTTTCCCTCTTCCTTTCAGTCAAAAATTATGTGGGCAGAAATTTCATTAAAAAAAAAAATCACTGACCTGAAAAGAAATGGCTATTCAGTTTCTATGAGGATAAATGAATGCTGTGAAATGAATGATATAGTTATCAATATTATATTAAAGTGTCTTTTCAACAACTTTCTCAGACATGTTTACTTGCATTTTACATGACAAGCTGGTCTCTGTTTTCCCAGCTGTTAGGTTTGAGGCAGTAAGCCAGATTGTTGCTGATTCTGGAAGCCACGCTCAAGCTGAGACCAGCTAGGAATTCAGCTCAATTCTTTCTGACCCACTAAAGGAGCAGGTTTTTCCTAATTAATTTTCACATAAAAAAAACAACAAAATTAAAATTTCATTAAAAAACAGCAACAAAATTAAAAATTCAAATCCCCATGAAATTGGATGCAAAAAATACTAGAAATACTCTTGCTTACTAGAGAAAGAAAGTAATGGAAGATTAATGAAGGAAAGTAAGGCTGGATGCCCGTGGCTCTCGCCTGTAAGCCTAGCTACTCAGGAGGCTGAGATCTGAGGATCATGGTTCAAAGCCAGCTGGGGCAGGAAAGTCCGTGAAACTCTTATCTCCAAGAAACCACTAGAAAACTGGAAATGGTGCTGTGGCTCAATCGGTAGAGCCCTCCCTTTGAGCTGAAGAGCTGAGGGATAGCGCCCAAGCCCAGAGTTCAAGCCTCACTACTGGAAAAAAAAAAAAAAAGGAAAGTAAGATGTAATTTCTGTTTCGTCTTTTAGCAGCAAAATCTGCTTCTGGATGTAAGCCAGTTTACCACCTAAACAAACACCTAAGGAAAAAAAAATGTTGCTGCTTCTGTGTCATAGCACATCCAGACTTCAGTAGTGTTATTTTACAGTCTTTAAAAAATTCAAGATTTTTTTTCTTTTTTGTCAGTCTTGGGGCTTGAACTCTGGGTCTGGGATCAGTCCCTGAGCTCTTCAGCTCAAGGTGAACACTCTACCACTTGAGCTACAGTGCTACTTCTGGTTTTCTGGTGGTTAATTGGAGATAAGAGTTTCCCAGACTTTCCTGCCGGGGCTGGCTTTGAACTGTGATCCTCAGATCTCAGCCTCCTGAGTAGCTAGGATCACAGGTATGAGCCACTAGTGCCTGCCTAGAATGGTTTTTTTTTTTTTTTTTTTGGTCGTGGGTCTTGAACTCTGGGCCTGGGCACTGTCCCTGAGCTCAAGGTGAGTGCTCTACTGCTTGAGCCACAGTGTCACTTCCTAGATTTTTTTAATATTAGCATTTTTTTGGAAGGAGTGGCTATCTCTTGAATTATCTGTAATTTCAATATAGTGAAAAGTACTCATAAAATGCCTACTATACAGTAATCTAGAATAATATTCCCTAAAAAGGATAATAGGAATGATAAGAAAAAAAAGGAAAAAAATGAGGTTAATTGTCTTTTTAAAAAATAAAACTGAGGTTTGAACTTAGGGCCTGGGTACTGTCTCTTAGCTTTTTTGTTCAAGGTTGGTGCTCTACCAGTTGAACCACACCTCTACTCTTTTGGTTTTTGGCTGTTAGTGATAAGAATCTCATTGACTTTTTTGCCTGGGCTGGCTTTGAATTGTGATCCTCAGCTCTAAGCCTTTTGAGTAGCTAGGATTTCAGGTGGGAACCATTGGAACCAGGCAGTTGCCTATTTTTGTAAAAACCACACTTCGATGTTCTTACGCTTTAAGTTGAAGGTGTTACTTTGAACAAATGAAATGATTCTTAGGCATCTTGAGGCCCTGGGGTGTCAGGATGACATTATTTCACTGATACTTCAAGTTGTTAATTTCACTACAAAAATTCTCATTCCGTTTATTTAAGATATAGATTGTGTGTATGTGAATTGCAGGGCAAGATGAAAGATGTTATGGTCTGGCTAACTCTGCAAGAGACGAAGCTACAGAAGGCACTGAAGGATTCAGAAAATGAGACCTACTTTACAAAGTACCAAGTAAGAATGACTTTACACACCTATCTGGAGTTGACTCTTGTAGGGATGTTCATTTCTAGACACATCTTAGAGCTCAGTATTTAAGGGTTAAGGTGAAAGTGCACATTCACATTCAGATGTTCTGGGGGCTGGTAGTGCTGATACTGGCAGCCCTTTGAGTACTTCCAGCATGAACCTAGACATCAGTGCCTGTGTCTGAGATGAGCCTGGGACAGAGATAGTGTCATCAAAGTATTGCTCATAGGTAGTAGTGGAATAGGTCGTGTAGTGTGGGTCGAGTAGTTGCACTAGAGATAATAGAGCTCATAAAGGCCTAGGATATTTATTATCCTGCCACTTTCAGCAAACGGAAAGGAAAGAATCAGGAAGTCAGCAATGGAGCTGACTCCATCAAAGGAGTCCTTGGGGAATAATGACAACCACTATTACTGGCACATATGAATATGTGCAATGAAGCAGGCTTAACACAGCTAGGAAATAGGCCACAGAGGAAAGAAAGAACAAAAACAATACCAACAAACCAGTTCTCCAATGGAGAGCTGAATTGGGATGCCAAGATGACTGAAGATGAGCCAGGAGACAGGACACGATCACAGAGACACACGTGCATGGCATTGCTTATAAAATTTTTATAATTATCTTTCCCTTGTTGCAAGTTTTATTTATGTGTACGTTTATGTATTTATTTGGCAGTACAAGGGATTAAACTCAGGACTTGGTGCTTGAGCTATGTCCCTAGCCATGAAATATTGAAGACAGGGAGAAAGCGGTTTTTAGTCTGGATAAAAGAAGATGAGAAGAATTTGTATAGCTCAGCTAGTTGTAAATACCTTGAACATAGTTTATTCATGACAATTGTGATGTAATTCTTTTTTTTTTTTTTTTTTGGTTGGTCCTGGGGCCTGAACTCTGAACCTGGGCACTGTCCCTCAGCTCAAGGCTAGCGCTCTACCACTTGAG